CCAAACTTTTGAACGGTAGTGTAAGTCTATAACTTTCTCTGGTAGTGAAATCCAGGAGACAAACATCACACAACACAAGGCGTTCCATGTGTGAAAAAGTGCAATATTGATTGTAGTAGCAACAGTGTAATAATTATAGTTTTCTTTACATTTTGTGTGAATTGAATTAAAGCAGTGTCCTCAGTGCAAGTATGCCAGTCTAATAGCAGGGCACAGATAAAAAAAATTAGCAGCTACTGAGGAATTTACAAACACCAGCACAGACTAAAGTGTAAATTTTATGTTGCCATGGGAACTTCATTTCTAAAGAAATGGTCCTTTAGTTAACACATGATTAAAAACATTGATTCAAATAACTTTTTTAAAGTTCAAGTATAGAAGTCAAGTATAGACTTTTGTTTATCGACTAATAAAAAGCTATTTCTATTATCTTTAATCAATTCAAAGAAATTTACCGATATTAAAGGCTTAAAATAATTACATTTTACAATTAAGAGTTTAGGATAAACTTCCTTACCTAACAGTGTAACTCAACTCTCTTCCTAGGTCACTTGAGTGCATCATGTTCTCTGCCAGCTGGTCGTGTGCCTTACCTCCTTGCTACTTCCTGTTCTGATGGAAAGGTGCGCTTCTGGAGGTGTAATGTCATTGCGACAAAGCCTTCCAGTATCGACAACTTGGTGTACCAATGGGAGGAGTGGCCTCTCCTGGTGGAGGAGAGGTTTCCCAACAGCAGCGCAGTAAGTGTGCAAGGTCGCCCTATAGAGGTCAGCTGCTGTCACGCTGGACGGATTGCAGTTGCTTACAGGCAGATGGCAAACACACCCCTGAACTTAACACCTCATCTGAACTCACATGGACTGCTCACTTCTCCTCCCAGCCTGGCTTCCACCCCTTATGTGAATTATAACAACACAAACACTCACTTTACCCCAACCCTGACTGTACAGCGTAGCCCAAATCTCACTCCAAGCTCCAACCTAGCAAACACTAGAGAACCATTGGTCCACATTGGCATCTTCCAGTGCGAGTCCACTGGTGGGTCGCAGTGGATTCTAGAGCAGACGATAGTTCTGGACAGCACAGATCCCACAGCTAACAATGATAATAGCACAACTGGAAGTGCCAATGTTCCAAGTAACATGGACTTCTCTATACCCAACGAGAACTGCCATGGTTCTACTAGCAAGAGCCTGGTTCATTTGGACTGGGTCTCCCAGGAGAATGGGTCACATGTTCTGACCGTTGGTATTGGCACAAAGATTTATTTGTACGGCTGTCTCTCTGGGAAACCTCCAGAACTCTGTCTGTCATCTGATGCCAGTAGAGACCAGAGCTCGTCTCGACTGGTTCTGCTTCGAACAGTGGATCTGGTCTCTTCTGTTGAAGGCTCGTTACCCATTCCAGTCTCCCTCTCCTGGGTACGAGATGGCATCTTGGTAGCAGGTATGGACTGTGAGATGCATGTCTACTCCCAGTGGCAGCCCCCAGCATCACCCAAATCCAATGGCACAATTGCCCAAGACACAGACATCAGCAGCAGCATCTCCTCCATAACCTCAGCCGTTAGACAGAGCCAGGAGGAAGCTCTCAGCGCTGGGGCCCCCATGTCTTCACTGGCCCCTCCCAAAAGGGCCCTGACAAGATCAATGATGAGCCTGGCTCAGAAACTCAGTGGGAAGAGAACAGCTTATGACCTGCCTCTAGAGATGGAAGATTCTGGGCTTTTTGAAGCAGCTCACCAACTCTTTCCCACTCTGCCTCAATACCATCCTGTACAGTTACTGGAGCTCATGGATCTAGGGAAGGTAAGTTGAAGGAATTACTATCTATAAAAGATATATTTGATCTTTTCTGATTATTTTGTTCTATATTTAAACATAATCTCCAGTTGATGTAACAGGGCAGTTTTGTAAGTTACTATAATTAAAAAAAAAATATATAACTAAAAAAGCTTTAGTAAAACAGACTAATACATTTAAAAATAATTAAATTAATTGTGATTGCTTTAAAAATCGTAACATAAGATGACTTGTGTTTTAAAATGTAAACGAGTAACATAACTTGTCTATCTTAAGGTTCACCGTGCTAAAGCCATCCTCTCTCACCTGGTAAAATGCATTGCTGGAGAAATTGTGGCACTTAAAGACAGTAACTCTAATCCCGAGAAGCGTGTACGCTCTCGAACCATCAGCGCTGGAGGCAGCACAGCCAGGGACCGGAAGATGTTCAGCAAGGCAGAGAACTCAAGCCCCGACTACACAGAGATAAGCTCCATCCCTCCCCTGCCTCTGTATGCACTTCTGGCAGCTGATGAGGATACGTCACCAAAACCTGGTGGGTATAAAACGTGGTTTTAGAATACTAATATCCAGTAATTAATAAAATAAGGGTAAACTTTATTTAATTAATACATAGGCAGCATAGTTGGAAAATGACAATAATCATGGACGAAGGATGTGTACTTCTAATTTGAATCCAATAAAAATCCCATTACATTAAGCAACAAAGGTATCAGATGTTAGATTTTTTTTTTGTTTGCGTTGTTTCTTTTTTTAATCTAGCATTTTGAAGTGCTCATCTAAGACTAGGGTTAGGGGTTAGGGTTGGGAGAGCGATGGTTTGAGACTGGACTATAATAACTATCTAAGACTGCACTTGTGGATGATAACTTAATAGGGTAGACTGGAGATACATTTACTTACGTTTTAAATTGAAAATGGTGAAAATTGAATGTTATTATTATTTAATATGTTATGTCAAACAAACTTCATAAAGGTTCTCCAGGCATGATTTTATGCAGGTACCTAAACAAAGAGAAAAACATTGAAAAAGCAAATACCATGTTTAGCCCCCCTGCCTCAAAGTGTAAGAGAGAACAATATTCTACTTATTTGTCTCTTTAGTTATTCCTCATTGTTTGTCCAGGGATACAAAGTGAAAAGAATGAAAGCAGAAACACATATACAGTAAAAACATTTCCTGCTCTTTAGTATTGTAATATAATGTAATCTTTGAAAACCAGCGGGAAGTTTTTCTGCACATCTCTTATGAAATACATTTCTTGTGTAATTTAGCCCTGTCTTGTGCTTCCATACAGCTAAAGTGGGCAGTGTGAGTGGAGATAGCGGGCATGGTTCCAGTCACACTGACGCTTATGATGAGCTCTTTCAAACACCCAGCATAGCAGACCTGGACCCTCTGGACAACAATGAAGAAGAAACGGGGAACAAGGTCGGTTTCTTTTGATTTGTGCTTGGTTAAAAGAGAATTTATACAAATGAGAGGACAGTGACATTTTAGGGCCTTTTGGTATTCCAGTATGAAGCTTAAACATGCATAATTGTGCATGTCAAGGTTCATTTTAGGTACATTTCTGCCTTTAAAAGACAGATCAATCAAAACCCATGATGGCCCTAGCTAATGCAAAATGCAGAAAAGCTTTTATAGTTATTTGTGTTTTGTGAGTTTGAATCCAACAATGACACATTCTCCCTGTTAACATTATTTCCTGCCTCTCTCTGTGTGTTGTCTTATAAATTAGAAATACCATACCATTTTACAGATTGTCTTCTGTCTTGTTCCTGGTCTGTAGGTCATTGACCTGTCCCAGTACAGCCCGACATACTTTGGTCCAGAACATGCCCAGGTTCTGTCCAGTCACCTCCTTCATTCCAGTTTACCAGGTTTAACCCGTATGGAGCAGATGTCTCTCATGGCACTGGCCGACACCATCGCTACCACAAGCACAGACCTCAAGGACAGCCAGGGCAAGAGCAAAGGTACTGGAGGGAAAGGAAAACTAAAAAAATAAGGGCTCTTTAAATGAATAGAAATGCAGTAGATAAGATTCTACTTCATTATGTAATTATGTTTTGAAGTAGCAGTAAGAGCTGACTGTCATTAATTTACCAGGTGGAGAGACGCTGGATGAGTGTGGTCTGAAGTTCTTGCTGGCCGTCAGACTCCATACCTTCCTCTCTACCTCCCTGCCTCCAGCACACCGAGCACAGCTGCTACGCCAAGGTACAATTACAGGATAGTGATTTTCAAACTTTTCATTGGGGGAGTTTCAGAGCTGACACAAACAAGCAAGAACAGACTGTAGCATTTTGACACACTGTACAGGGCCACTATTACATAGATAAAAATAATCTAATAAGACTAGAAGTTAGGGATAAACTTTAATTAGAAAGTCAGATATCCCTCACAATTGGCACACTCCCTTGTATGGTCTTGCAAGATTTTATCTAAGTTTCCAGCTTGCTTGCTCCTGCCTAAGGAGCTGTGTCCCTGCACTCCTTCAGACTCCTCTAGTGCCCACATAGGTATCAGAGCAGTAACTCTATAAAGACCCCTAAAGCTAGAAAGAGAGAACGTAACTGATGATCTAAATTTTCTGACAATAAAAATCTATAAAGATATCCTATAGAGCTCCTCAGTGGCCAGCAGTACTACACTGTAGCTGTAAGAGCAAAACCCACTGCTTTAAATATATGTTTGTGCTGTTGTAAATAACCTGTATAAGCCGGCCTCATACTACAGGAATTTTAAGATAAGATACAGAGAAATCTAGTCCGGTATCAATGTTCATTCTATGCTTTTACAGATTTAGTCTAAAACCTTTAGACCTGCTCCAAAGCTCTTAGGGGCCTGCCCAATTATTTTCAAATATGAAATTTAGAAGTGAAAGAGAGGTGTTGCAAGTAGCAGTAAACTTTTTAGCCCTTGAGGCTAACATCAGCTTGCATACTACTGTTGACGGATATTAAAACTGACAGTTAAAAATTCTGTTCGAGCTCTCGCTGAAGAAGAGACAACTCGTGCTGACCAAATATACCGAATCATTTTCTCATTCAGACTCATTTAGCCCTCTGCTTCTGTTTTTTTCTCACTGCAAAGCATTTACCACAAAAAGTTGTTCTGCTACAACACTCTCCATTTTGTTTACACCTGCTTCCCCGTGCGATCACAACACAGGGTGGTGCATTGCTCCCTCTGGCACAATAATCGTAATAATATCCTTTAGGGGTTGATGCGCCAGTATTTTCAAATCTTGTAGTGTGTGGATTTTTAAGGTTAGAAATCTTTGAAGTTTCTCCTTATGTGCCACCTAATTTTAAACTCTCCATTTTCGACATGTCCTTTTTCTCCTCTCTGCAGGCCTGTCAACATGCCATTATGCCTGGGCCTTCCACTCTGAAGCTGAGGAGGAGCTGCTGAACATGGTGCCTGCCCTACAGAAGGGAGAGCCCACCTGGCCTGAGCTGCGCTCCATGGGTGTAGGTTGGTGGCTGCGCAGCACCAACAAACTACGAAGGTGTATTGAGAAGGTGAGGAGGTTAATGATATTTGCTAATTAGCATCAGTTTAGGTTTGTGCTTAAATCCTAAACAGTGACCTATTGCGTGTGTACAAGAAAAGGTAGGAAAGACCAGTACCTCTGTGGAGTTTAGTTTAATATTTAGTTTTGACTCACTTACATATTCTAGTCTTGTTTTAATCATCAGATCATGATATAGTTCAAGGTTTGGAAATGTATATGAAGTTCTTTTCTTTCAAACTATAGACACAAAAACAAATCTACAACATTTATCACGTATCAAAATAGTTGCAGTCAGTTTTCAAGCAAAAATGCCAACATCTTCTACTTGTAGATTACTTGGATTTGCTGCTTTTCTTTGTCTTATTCGGTAGTGGTCTGACACTAAGCAGCACATAGATTGAACTCATTTTCACCCAGATTGTCTCCCTGTCCTTCAAACCGAACTTTAACTTTAAAGTGATTATAATCACATCAAAATTCACCACATAAAGGCATTGGAGGTCGGCTATTGGCGTGTTAGCCCTGCGTTCTTCATATTGATTGCTTAATTTATAAATGAAGTGCTGTCAGAACGTGAAAGTGAAATTTTGCTGTGGTTGCTGTAAAATACAGCAGTATAACTGAGGTAGGGCTTCTCCCTTAAATGACCCATAAAGCTACAACTTGTTCTGTGGACAAAACTGTATAGGCTGAGGAGGTGTGAGCTGAATGTGTTTTCTTCCTTTATTTTGTCAGGTTGCCAGGGCTTCTTTACAGAGAAACAATGATCCTCTGGATGCAGCTATATTTTACCTTGCAATGAAAAAGAAGGCAGTGGTCTGGGGATTGTACAGGTAGGCAAAACTGACTGAATTTTGCATATGAAATATAGTCATCACATTATTTGCTCCTGCCCTTAACCAAGATTATCTCTGACAGCTGACTGAAAACCTATGACACCAGTATTGTTTTGAATCCTTAATGGTTTTTTTCTCCAGGTCTCAGAAGAATGCCAAAATGACAGAGTTTTTCCGCAACAACTTCAGCGAGGACCGGTGGAGGAAAGCAGCACTGAAAAATGCCTTTTCTCTGTTGGGAAAGCAGCGGTTCCAGCATTCTGCGGCTTTCTTCCTTCTAGCCGGCTCCCTTAAGGATGCTGTGGAGGCAAGTGGAAAATAGACATGACACACTGTTTGCAAGAAGCAGTTGTTCCTTCAACTGCAAGTGCCTCTTGGCAGCCTGCTAATCCTAAAGTGAAACTTTGCTTTCAGTCAAGAGCTGCTCATTTACATTTACAAAATGTCTGTAGCATTGTAATTTCAACCACTCATAGTCAATGGCAGTGTTTAATGGTATAGTAAAAAGCAGAGAAACCACATTCACAAGAACAGTCTTCACCACCAGTATTTATGTAGTATGTAGCATCCTTTTTATTATTAAAACAGTTCAATGCATTTCCACAGTGGTGTCTTGTAGCACAATGCACTGAAAAACTATTGATGTTGGCAGTTGACTCTTGGGTGTTAGCATGTTGTCACATACATAAAACAACACAACTCCACACTCTTGTTGAAGCTTGGTAAATTGGAACACTACCTTCATTTCATAAAAAATATATTTGCATAAGTTTTGTTTTTTAATGTAGGCATTAGTATTTCTGCAATCTATCAGGGGTAAGTAAAGCCACAGAAAACCTACAGCTTGCCGTCTTTTTGTTTACATATTAAGAGGACTGCATCTGGTCTGTGCGTTTGCTTAACCTTTTATTCATCAAGGTTACTTCTGTTTAGAAAGTCCCTAGAGCAATGAGTCACATTATTTCATCTGTGTGAGTAACTGGAGCTTCTCTAAGCATTTTATGGAGATGAGCGTCACCCAGGCAAAGGGCTATCACTGACTTTGCTTACTCTCTCTGTCTGGGAGATCAGTCTCATTGAAATGCACCTCACACCTTACCAGTTGGGAGCAACTACAACAACTTGAGCTATCCACTAACTCTTTGCTGTGTGCACATATTTTTATTTTTCACCTTTTTTTTTAGTTGAGAGATCAGATCATTACTGAACAGAAAATCATGTCCTGCTGGATTAGTGCATCCAGAATATACATTGTCATTATTTGTGCCAGTAACTCAGAATGCATTTTAAATGACTGTGATATTGTGCTTTATTTCCTCCTCCAGGTTTGTATAGAGAAAATGCAGGACCTACAGCTGGCCCTGGTGATCTCCAGATTGTATGAGTCTGAGTTTGAGACGGCATCTACCTACAAAAAGATCCTCCAGAGACATGTTCTGGGACAAGACAAACAGGTACAGAGTTTGTGTATACCACAACCTCCACAAGCTACCTATTGTTGTTTGACTCTCCAGCATTTTGATAATTAGTACACTGCAGAAACCAGAATAAGCTATTGTGATTATTGGTGTATTTTAGATTCAAGCGCACCAGGACCCGTTCCTGCGCAGCATGGCTCACTGGGTCCTGGAAGATTACAGCAGGGCCTTGGACACTCTACTCGAGCAGCCTGCTAGCAGCGCCAGCTCTGGGTCCACTGTGAACAAATGTGATGCTGGTAGGTCGGCAGATCCTCTATTCAGAGGTGAAGTTAAGATGATAGAGTTTGGTAAAATTGTATTTTATTGTATTTTTATGCACTTGCCAAACTTTCTGTCTTGTCTATGTCTTTAGTTTTGCTACAATTGTCCTGCTTTTTTTGTTGGCTTTGTTTTTAAGATATAGTCTGTACTTTCAGAGGCTTCTAAAATATCTCAATAGTTTGTTCACTTTGTTGACAGCGCAGGTGCACGACACTATAAGTGCTGCCAATTGTAATTTGGCACTGTGAGGTTGAATCCTCTGCTTTCACAAAATGCCTAAGCTTTGAAACAATTTTTGGTCCTTTAAGTATGTGTAATTGCAGCCTACTACTGGACACAGACCATTTAATTGAAGAAAATATACAGTGCTTCCTATACGAGTAAATGAAGAACTGAACTTAATATGAACCTCACTTTGACTTAAAAGCCAAAACAGTCCCAGATTAACATCCCTGTGCTACATGTCTTTCATAAATTATGCTCTCAAAGCACATTTAATATGCTTACAGAGAAGAAAACACTGGCTTATAGAACGTTGGAAATGGTTTTCTTCTACTTGACAGATTATGTGCTGTCCTGGCTGAGTTTTAAGTATGAGTTGCCTGGTCCTTTTTACATTGTTTAGACCTTGATGAACAAGAGTGAACTTATTGCATCACCTTTTTTTCCACCAGTCATTTCAGTATTTTTCACTCCCAACTACACCCTCTATTCGCCTTTAAGTGACAACAGAACAGAGTTTGTCAGTGTGCAAGTGCTCACATTAGCTGCATGCCTTCATTTGTCTTTAACAAAGACTCAATATAATCCAATATGCAGCTTGTCCCTGCAGGTACTGTGGTCAAAACACGAAAGGTGGCTAGTTTGTGCTACAGACAGTGATAAAAAATGTTATGTCTCTTTGTATGACAGGTTCCTCTCCTGTGTCTACATGTAATCCTGAGGTTTTCAACTTTTACACCTACCTTCGTACCCACCCACTCCTACTTCGACGCCATTTTGGCTCTTCAGACAAGGCTAAAGTTGGTCTGACTGCTGAGGGTCGCAGGGCTGACTCCATTAGCCTGGAGGAGAGAAGACTGTTTTTCACAGCTGCATACGCACATCTACAAGCTGGCTGCCCCATGCTAGCACTTGACGTCCTCTCCAAGATGCCCAAAGTCCGCAAGCATTCCAAACTCACCACCCAGGAGGACACGGGCATCGCTACTGAACTCAGTGTTGGCAGCAAGAACGGACAAACATCAGACCCCGATTGGTCTCAGCCCGCTCTGAATGGGTACGAGTCCAATGAAAACTTATCCAACAGCCAGTCAGATTCAGTGTTAAGTTTTGACTGGAGCCAGCCGTCGCTGACACTTCCAGACGAGTCCCTGGACTTGAAGTGGGACAGTGACAAAGATGATGATGAGGATGAAGAAGAAGCTAAAAATGGCAAGAGCGGTAGAACTGCAGACAGCAGCAGCATATTCCAGGACACGCAGGATACCATGTCACCGCTAATGGAGACAGTGACAGGAGAGGACAGTGAGGACAGTGAAGACTTCCTAGCACCAACGAATGACATCTTGGCCGCCCAGCTGAAGTTTACTGCCTGCTTGAAGATTATGACCAATGAGCTCCGGACCCTGTCGACAGGGTATGAACTGGATGGAGGGAAGCTGCGTTACCAGCTCTACCAGTGGTTAGAGAGAGAGGTAGTAGCACACACGTAACTTATACACTTACACACTTATACAGACTTAAGGGTCATATCAATAATATATTTTTTAGTTTAAAATTTGTTATAAAATCTATCAGTGTGGTGAAGCATTAGTCTGACTTCACCCTTCGGTTCACTCAATAAAACTTTTATAACTTGCATAACTCCCACACGTCTCTCCTGTCTTCACGTTCACTATTTCAAGATTTTGCCTCTCTGTGTGCACTGTGTCACAGCATATAAACATCATATTGGTAATAACACCAGTGGTTTTCTCTCATTAAATTGTCTGTCTTTTCCTGTGAAGACTGTTTGACAATTTGGTGAAATGTTTTCCTTCCACTCCCACGCATGCAAGATAAAATTCCTTCTTGATGAATTGATTTTAAGATAAAATTCTGTTTTCCCCAGGTGGTGGCTCTCCAGCGTTGCTGCAGCTACAAGCCCTGCTTGCCAGAGCTGTCTGTCCAGGGTGATGCCCCTGTTTCTGGGTTGGTGGAGGAGGAACAGGTGGGCGTAGATAGCTGGCTGCATCTAGATTTGTCAGATGTTTGTGCGGAAAAATCAATGCAACACTAGCTGTAATAAAAAAAATTAAGACAACAGCACAGTGTGTCTTGACATAGTTTGAGAAACAGTTTTATTGAAAAGATTGTTGCACCATTTTTCCTTGAATATGACATGAATGTTGTTTTTGTTGTCAAGTTACGAAAAAAGCTAAATGTTGCTCTGTTGTTTCAGATTCGGCAGCAAACCTAATTATACATACCTATCTAAGCACAATACACGTACTGTGTATTTACAAATTAAAATTACATTTCAGAGACCCACTAGTTTATTTATTGTTGACAGATTAATGTGCATTGTTTTAAAACCTAGTTGTTTTTAGCACTGTGGGGCTTTTGTTTTGAACACTAGCCAGCTGGATAACGTCGGCATATTTACAGGCACATTGATTGATTTGTCTATAAAACTAATAAAGTAAAAATGGTTTTCCAGCCCGGAAGTCCTCGTGGTGACAGCCAGAGGAGCAGGAGACACTGGCTGCAGAGTAACCAGCCCTTACTGAGGATGTTTCTGAGCTACTGCAGCTTGCATGGCTCCCATGGTGGAGGACTGGCATCTGTACGCATGGAGCTCATATTATTGCTTCAGGAGTCCCACCAGGTAATTAAAACATGCATAGATACACGCGAAAGGCCACTGATAGCCAGAGCATGGCAATTTATAGTCTGCTTCTGTAGCTGCCAAGTAACTGTGCTAACTGATTTTTAGGTTGCTGGTGGATGTGATAAAACAGTCCTTTAATCAATAAGCCACTCATTTGGAAATTTGATAGGATGTTTAAATTGATTTGGTGGTTCTCCAGACTGCTTTGATTTGGTGTCTATTACCACATAGAGAATGAAATATGATTTATCCATAAATGAAAACACATAATTAATTACGTTAATTCAATTAAAAATGTTTATCAATACATTTGCCACTCACAGCTTCACAAGCGCATTGCTTGACTTTGGTTTTTCTTATTATGAAAATGGCACTTTTTTCTGTCACTTGTCAAAGTAAAACTTTAACATGAAAGGATGTTTCTTGTAAGTTGTAATGACAGTGAATTGAGAGAGAATAATTGATATTGAAAATATTAGTTGGATCAGCCTGTTTCATATTTGCAACCAGAACATTTTCATCACAAACAAGTGGTTCAACAGGTGGTTCAGCATTTCCAAACTTTATCTGTCAGAGGTTCCTGACAGCACAAACTATGTGTGACATTATTTTTATTAATTATTACTAATTACTTAGATAGGAACAAGAATAATATGATTTTTTTATTCAACACAAAAGACAAAGATAATAACCATCAGGGGCATGTAAAAACATTCACACCGGCAAGTGATCACATATTCTCTTTGAAGGAAAGGATACTGAGCAGATAAGGGGCAAAGTACGAATGAAAGACGAACATGACGCCATCTGAAAGCTTGTCTTAATGCAGCCAGATTCCCAAGACACCTACACACACCTACACACACCTACACACACACACACACAGGTGAGCAACGTTCTACAGCCGGTAAACAAATTAC